GACGATGAGAAGACGGGACAAGCCAAAAAATAGGGAAAAAGCAATCTCCTACACGGGCACTGTCCAGCACACCAGCCAGTCCAACTCCTCTAACTTCAGCGGCTCGTCCATCCATTTCGCGATATCACCGCCCCTGGACTCGCTTAGACCTCGATCAGGGTTTTAACCTTGATTTGGGGGCCAAATAAAAAGCAATCTTTTATCATCGCCAAATCATTGAAAACCAAAATATGAGTAAATGTAGACCCATAGGCAGATGCAAACCAGTAAAAATTAAAAGAAGATAAACCCTACAAAAATCAAAATAGACCTTTGAAGAAGAAGCCGTCCAATTTGAGCCGAAAGCTGGTAGATCGCGGTCGGTTTCACGGCGGTGGCGCCGGTTCCCTTTTATCGCGAGGTCGTCGAGTTAGCGTACGACGTCGCTTTCGTCCTTTCCCAACTTCGCGAGCGCACGGATGGTCACATCGTACATCCAGTCGCGGACCGCCACGTAATTCAACCTCGAAGGGTAGTTGCCATCGTAGTTTTTCATCTGCTGTGGAGTGAGCTCCATTAATTGCTGGTTTGGGATTAGGGATAAGGATTTGTGTTTTTCAGAAAGTGAGAGGGTGGGACAAAATGACGAACCCTTTTTCTCTTTGAGAACGAGAGTCAAATGGAGTGGTTGGGGACAAAACATTTTGCAGCAGAAATTAAGGAAAAAAGTTTACTGAATGACCGAAATAGTCTCCAACAGCAGTAGGAAATGAGGACATAAAATTTACATTATTGTCTTTTCAATATTGCACTTTCTTAAAAAAAGGCTATTTAAGTGAAAGTGGCAGTAGCGTAAAAATAGGTGAAAGTGGAGGGCATTTATGTCCCAAAAAAATTGACACGTGTCAGGCACACAACCCCTTACATTTTTGCTTATATGTAAGGGGGAGATATATGTCAAATAAATATATCAAATAAAACTGAGCTCACGTTTCATAACCTAGAACCACATGGTTGAGCTAAGACATGTAAAAATAATAAGGCCATTGAAAAGAAGCGTATTAACAGGCCTCATGACCTCAGAAAGAAGGCAATGATAGCTCTAGATTCTTCCAAATTTTGAAAGGCTATTGAAAAGCATAGGTAATTCAATTGCTGGCTTATTAATATAGTGAAGTTCATATTCTCTCTCTCTCTCTCTCTCTCTCTCTCTCTCTCTCTCTCTCTCTCGTAAAAAACAAACAACAAACAGTTAGTTGACCCGACACTTGTACTACAAGTGCACAGAAAATAACCATTAGGAACTCCTCGACCTCACTACTTAATGCTGCTCCACCAGAGGCAATAAGACGCAACCTGCCACCTAAGCTGCTCTTGATCCACAGAAAAGACGTACTCAAAATGTTAGCAACCAGACCATCCCATATTTTCTAGCAATAGAAAGTCTATCAGAAATCAAGATGGTTAGTTGCCTTGATTTTTCGTGAAAACAGAATCCTAATTCAAGTTCAGGAACATAAATTCATCCAAGTAATAGAGGTTTTTCAGTTCCATTAAATCTATGGTCCTATTTTGGGCTCTTAAGGCATAAATGGATGTTATTGTTACAACAAAAATGTGATCAATTTGAACAATAAATCAATAATAAATTGGCAAAGGAAACCACCCCAAAAGCAAGTAAATCTGTCAGTTGTGATGCATCTGCTTGTATCCTTTGTTGAACAAATAAAGCTTGTTGTATCAAGAACGCAACAATATTAGCATCATATCTAGTTTATATTTATTTCAACCATCAAGAGTAAATAAAAAATATTGAACAAAGAGCGAGAAGCGTAGTACTATTTGTACAGCATGTCGAGAATTTTTCTCCTCCGCTTTTAAGACTCTTGGATAACGGGTACAATATAACAGTTCACATGCCAGCTGCATATAGGTCCAAGCCAAAGTAATATCTCAACTGAAATATAGACGCCAAACTTATTGTTTTTATATACTTGGACAACCCGCAGTCTTAACAATCACGAAAAATTAAAAATAAAGACCAACATGTACTCATACACAGTGTTTTAAATACCGTACCGGTGGCCATACCGGTCTACCCACCGGTACGCGGTATTACCGGTACGACCGGTAATATCGGTGGTATTACCGGACTAGTAAATATAATAATATATATATTTATTTATAAAAATATATAATACCAAATACAAAAAAATAAAAAATAAATGATCATAATCATTAATTTTAACTTACCAATGAAATAAAATAAAACATTCTAACTACCAATTTAAATTTTATGTTTTTAAATTAAAAAAAAAATATTTTATTTTTTTTTTAATTTTTTTTTTCATGGCCGGTATTTTGGACCGGTTTTTCCCGGTATTTACGGTACAAAACGGTATTATCGAAAATCCGGTATTTTGTGTGTTTTTGTACCGTACCTAAGGCCGGTAACCGGTAATACCGGTATTACCGGCCGGTACGGTACGGTTTTTTAAACACTGCTCATACACACCTCATAAAGACGTAGGCCAAAACTTTCAGCTTGAAATATATGAATTTCCAAAAGTGACTACCTAATATAATTGTTACCAATTTGCAAGGCAACATTTATTCATCTATATTGTTGGCAACAAAATTACAAAGGTTATCTTTCACCATTAACAAAAAATAAAAAGTAGAAGCACGTAAAATGCAACTACTATTTAGTATCCATCCACAATGAAATATGATAGAGAAAAATTAACAGAGGTACACTTGGAGATAAACAATAATCTCAGTGAGGAAAAAGATCTTTTAGTTGAGAAAACTTACAAAAGCGGCATAATATATAAATGTGAGTCCTGCAGTAACTTGAGCATAATATGCAAATGTTGTGTCACAAAACTGAATCACACTGCAAAGTTCAACCAAAAATTAGTA